TTTTATCTTTTAAATATTTACATTTTATTCATAATCAATAGGTAAGCATTTTGTAACTATTGTAAATATTCTATTGTAATTTTTTGTGAAGCGCCTTGGACAATTTTGGAGATGAGCGCTATATAAATAAATTATATTATTATTATATTAAGTTATAAGTTCATCCCGGTGTAAGGGTTGTAAAACTTCCGATTACTTTCGGATCCCACGTGCACAGCAGGGCCGTAGCCACAAATTTCTGATTGGTCCGGTTTTCGAGGGTTTTCAGTTTTTCTTATATTTTCTTTATTATTTTTCTGATATTTTTTTCCCGAAATGTTTTTAGGAAAAAAGTTGAATTTTCTAAAGCATCGTACGAAAGAAATATAAGGCTGTTACGCGTTTCTGGTGTGGTACATTGTTAGTAAAATTTAGATTATCGTTGACATCTTGAAAAGTAAAAATGTTGTAAGTACAGATTTTTAAAATTAAGGAAAAAACCCAGTAAATGTATGTACTTGTAATTAGTTTATTTGTTTAATGACATCACGTAGCTTCAAAACTCCCAACAGATATCTCAAATGTTTTTGTTTGATTGAAAGATTCAGTAAATCTCAATCCCCTGAAAGTCAGGAAATTAAATGAGAAGTTTGCTATGGTGAGAGAAGTGGCCATCTTGAGACCAAACTCATTACTCCAAATATGGTACCAAAACTCCTAATTTGCATATGTTCATTTTTTCTGTAGCATGGTTATAGTGTTACGCGTTTCAATCCCCTAATGAGTCCAGGATTTTGGTTCCTAAAAATATAAAATTCAGTTAATATTACTGGCCAAAATACAATAAAATAGCCATTAAAAGAATTAAAAATCCAATTAGTGAGTAATTAGTGTTTTATTTGGTCTACTAACAAGCATTCCCCCCGTCACAAACCAATTCAAATATTCTCCTACATTTAATGTATATTCTTGTCATTATCTTTAAGTGAATCCTGAAGGCTGCAAAAATATGGTGTTTAAAGTGCTTGTAAAAGGCAAGACGCTAGAAAATCATGTCTTTGAAATGGTTGAGGTTACTGACGATGCGCACTGCGAATCCTTGTGTTTCTTGGATGATCGCTGTATCTCCTACAACTATTACAGAAGTGCAGGTGAAGAGAAATACATGTGTGAGCTGAGTGACTCGGATCACTTTATGCATCCTGGAGATCTAGTGGACAGACCTGGTGTCATCTACAGAAGTGCTCAGGTGAGACATGCGCTGGAATTAAATTACTTATTCCCATTTTTGGATACCGGCTATTTCAAAAAAAGGTTGGTAAAGGCTTTGCTGCATGCTGCACTAATAAATAAATCACTTTTTTATTTAAGTGTCTAGTCGTTCTAGCGCTTTCGCACTAATTGGGGACACTTTTCACTCACACGCACTACCACTACATTTAATATTCTATGCACACAACGCTCAACTCACATGTTGATTTTTATGGAGGGAGGAAACCGGAGAACCCGGAGAAAACCCTCGTAGCATAGGAGAGAACAACACATCAAACAAACTCAATTCACATGTGACGACCGCAGGGCTCGAACCAGCGACCCGACCCGTTGGACTCACAGCGGTGAAAGACGACGCGTTAGCCGCGAACGCCACCCATGCTACCCATGTTCATATGTAAATAATGTCAGCACAGAAGAACGTTTAGCGGCTGTGGGGAGGGAAACGTTGCGTGACGACCCTAAGAACGGCTGCGAAGGAGGCTACAAAACCTGCAGAGGTTTGGTAAAATGTCATATGGCTGTGACATTTTTCTGGTTAGATTCAATGAAATCGCCGATTGCGCAATGCAACAAGCAACATGCTAAAAAATCTTCATCAATCTTTTTTTGAAATAGCTGTATGCTAAAACAGGTATTGAGATCACTGTTGTTGTAAACGCCATGAAAATATATGATAAAGTGGAGTCAGTAGAAAGTCTTTTTCCGGTATCTGTTGTGTTCTGAGTTATTAGCCACATCAATGCTGTAAGAATATAAAATTGAAATATAAGCAAAAGGCGGTAATTTAATTTTTTCTCATCTTCTGATAACTCGAACTACCGATAGCTCGAACCTTTTTTCATTTCCCTTGGAGGTTCAAGTTCTTACCGGCCGGATTCAACTGCATTATTCGTGGTCACTGTACGGAACTGTAAAATGGAGTATATGTTCGTATAAATGTATACTCACAGCGTTTCTTTTTACTGTTTAGAACACCTGCGACTGTCCTAAAAACTCGAAATGCAGATATAACTTTGTTGACAACACGCACCGCTGTGAATGTCTACCTGGATTTACTGGAGACCAATGCCAAACGAGTGAGTAAACTGCATGTCACACCATCGGATAATATATTTAGCTTAATAATTATAGTATACATAGGAACTTTTAGATAATGTAATGTTGCAATTGGATAAGTTGAAGAAATTGCTCAGTCAGATGTTTAGAGCATGATATCTTTTTCGCCTGATATTTGAATCAGATATCGATGATTGTGCTTCTAATCCTTGCCAAAATGAAGGATCATGTCAAAACCGAGTCAACTCATACAACTGCACGTGTGCTGCAGAATTTACTGGGGTCAACTGTGGTTAGAATTATTCAATTATTTGAATTATTTTTGTGTGCTAAATTTTAGCGTAACTTATAGCCAGCGAAAACTTCGCCGTCGGAATCAGTAGTCGCTATATCGCTTAATAGTCGCTTAATCGTATAAGGTTCGGCACATGAATAGAGCGGCGTATGCAACGGGTCTAGGATGCAGTTCTCATCATGCAAATTTTTGTTTAAAATACTTTGATCTTTGGATCACAAACGTACTTAATTAATATACATCTTTACCTTGGGGGGTAATTTTTCTCATTTTAGTCCACGTGTCATTAACAAAGAATCAAGAGAACTGACACGTGACCTGAAATGGGAAAACATTACGCGCAAGAAAAAGAGGTCTATTGATGGGATGGCTTATGTGTCTTTACAAGAAAAMATGTGTCATGCACAAAGCATCACTAAAAAGAAAAATGCAATAATATGATCTTTTTTCTCGGTGGGAAAGCAATGTGTAGTTTCTCTTGATGTTCAGAAAAAGAAAATACAATCTTATTGCATCATAGAATGGCTCAGGGTCGCGAACAGCACTGAAGTGTGTATTGGTGGAAAAAACAATCAGTTCGGAAGGTTTACTATTCCAGTTGCCTGCCATGTCTTGAACTTCAAACTTGTTTATGTGTCTGGAGGTGGAATATCATGGGCAGATGGAGACACCAAAGCCTACTGGGGAACTACCAATAGACACAACAATAAAGATCTTAATTTACACATCACTGATGCCGACAACAATAGAATCAGTCCGCCACCTGACTTCCCACTGACTGGGAATACATACATGATATACCAGTTGCCAGGTGTGACCAACATGGACCCAGAACTTACATTCCCTGAGTTGTCACCTCCCCTAGCAGTGACAGCAGGCAAGGAGTTCAGGATATGGGTGGATGAAGATCTGAACAACATTTATGAAGAAGTCAACGAGGGACAAACGCGTGCTGATGTTTGGATTAAGAAATACTAAAGCTACTCTTTTGCCAGAACTAATCAAAATTATTCATTTGATACAGTATGTACCTTGATCTGGAAGTGTTCCCAAAATATGCAAATTGTGAATTATTAAACTGAAAACAGACCATGGACTATCTAGACAGTGATTTTATCATACTATGTATTGTAGATACCTTTTAAGATACGATGTACCAAGTTACTGTGCCGTATGTCTAAATACTGAATACTTAGGCATTTTTGGCATTTTAGTAGCCAAAAAGTATAAGCATATATAAAGATCAAAGCTAGCGCTCTCGAGAAATTGAAGGTCAAGCACAATACTTTCGTTAGCAAGCTAAAGGTTGTTTCCCTGTAGCCGCCAATCGATTCGATTTTCTATCCGTAGAAATTTTATAATCTTTTAGATTGTAATAGAATTTGGCGTAGCATGCAAAAAAATTGTCCTGTCAAGCGCGACATTTGCTCTGGTCGTCTCCTGTTATGCAAATTTGTAATATCGCTTTTATTCAAAACGAATTTCACCAATCATAGTCAATCGTTTCTCACATTTCCACGGATGTTTGTAGTGGCTGCCCGTGGAAACATCAAAGAAGTTGAATTTCCCACCAAAATCTTCTATACATCCCAGTATTTTATAAACCAAGTGTTCATTGGTCATTTCGTGATTGACAAAGAACAAATTTGGAATTTTATTCCGCAAAGTGGTGCACAATAGCTCAATGACAAACAAGAAATGCAACAAATCATTCTGGTCATTGTAGTCAAACGACGTTACCGCCGTTTACCCCTTATAGTTATTCTAAGTAGCCTCTACCATAGTCTTTTGTAAATATACTTACATTACTATTTTCCCTTCATTGTAATTAATTATGGTATAAATAAAACACATTGTTGTTGTTGTTGTTGTTGTTGTTGTTGTTGTTGTTGATACTGGAAAAGAGATATAGAAATATCTTATAGTTTCTGGGCTGCCTGTAGTAAAACCGTAATACATGTTAATAGCCAGTGGCTAACAAACCTGAACAGTTTTGTGATCCTCGTTCCATGATCGAATTGGAAATTAGGAGTTGATTTTTTTGTGGAGGGACGGAAAAAAGTAGAACTCGAAGAATACCCTGGAAGCACAAGAGAGGACCAGCTAAACACTCTATTCACATAAGATGCCGAGTACGGCGGGACTCGAACCTGGGTCGCATCGATGAGAAGCGAGCACTCTCACCGCTACGCCAACAGGCTTCCCACTACCACAGTTGTAAATGAGGTCCATCTTACTTAAGTACCTATTTCAATAAGATTCAAGGACGATATAAATGGCCACACTGAAATATCGAAGCTGCTTTCATAGTGACCCACCGTACGCGTACTTTCAAAAGGATATTTTTGTGTACTTGTGTAAAATATTCCAATACGTCCACACCTTGCTTCTGATGTGAGTTTAAAAACTTACATAAAACCTCATGATTATTTGGGTCGAGAAGGCTGTTAGAAAAATAGTCAGAGAAAAATAATCTGGAGATCTAGAAAACTTCTAGAGGGCTATGATAAAGCCACAAAATCTCGACATCTTTCGAAAAAAACGTCAGAGCTTCGTTTGGAGCTCTCATAGTCAGGGCAAGGTTGAGGGTGGACTTCACCAGAAAAGTTTAGTTCCATAAAGTTTTATGACGCAGTCGTATTTGGGTAGAAAGAAATACGGCCTTTAAAATCTTTTTGACTTCTTGCTCATCCATCACTGATTTCGATTGAAAAGCTTTTTCCCAGCAATAACATTCATTGTTATACAATGGATTCGTGAATGGTACTTGATTTATCTATCCTCCGAATTGTATCCCTAGGCGAATTGCAAATATCCAGGTCTTGAAAGTACAGTACATCGAAGATAGAGTTCCAGAAACTTGATATTTCAGCATTGGCTATTCTAGTTGGGACCAGGCGATTAAACCATGATAAATTGAGAAAAACGACGTAGGGCAAAATAACGTGTCTAGACATTAATCCCATGAGCAAGGGAGGGGTGGTATCAAGATAGTAGATCACGATTACGGGAGGGGTGGTAATAATACCATGAACATGGGAGGGGTGGTATAGTAGATCATGATTAGGGGAGGGGTGGTAATAATACCATGAACATGGGAGGG